CATGGGGCATAGATCCCTATCCGTCACATAGTGCAATTGTTGGGGCCTTCCTCAATACGCAGTCTCCCCCATGGCCGGTTCACTAGGGGCTCGCAAATATTTTCGTAATGAACATGCCCATCGCCTCTCTCTCTCTGTGTGTGTGTGTGTGTGTGTGTGTGTGTGTGTGTGTGTGTGTGTGTGTGTGTGTGTGCCTGCCTTGCCTCCTTGCGGTGCAGCAATGGCCGCTTCAGTCCGCTTCTCCGTTTCAGCTAGCAGGTCGACCATACGGGCCTCATAGGCCACCTCCGTTTCCCCCTCCTTCCGTTTCATGGCTTGCATCAGCGATCATAAGATTGTTGGCATTCGCTGCAGGAACTGGTGGCAGGTGCTGACGTGGTGCTAAACTCCGACTGACATAGCACAGACCCCCTTGCTGATGCCGCACTGAGCCACTACTGACATGTCACAATGACGTGGACTGCTGACCTCTCCCTGCTGACATGTACTAACATGGTCTTCTGATGTGTCTGCCGAAATTGCCTGGTGACATGTCATTGTGCTCAGTGTGCTGAGGTGGCCTGTCTCTTATACACATCTAGATGTGTATAAGAGACAGGTACTAACATGGTCTTCTGATGTGTCTGCCGAAATTGCCTGGTGACATGTCATTGTGCTCAGTGTGCTGAGGTGGCAACTCCTCAATACCCTCGGCAAGAAGAAGAAGATCAGATATGAGAATAGAGAAAGAAGAAGAAGACACAGGATACGCAGATGGGAACCCCCCATGGGATCAAGTCGACTTGCTGGAAAACATGAGCTATGGTGACCTTGCCCTTGCTCGGCTATGGCAGTTGAGTGATCCCAGGTTGAAGGACGATCCGAGGCGCCTCTACTAACGTTGTGCTGATCCTTCGGGCTACCACGCCCCGCACTGAATCTGAGATGGGGCTCGAATGTTTAAAGTTAAAGATATCACCAAAAGGACCATCACACCCTCAGGACACTCCCTCTCGTTCCCGGATCAAGAACGCCACTTCCGCCGGCTACTACCGCCATTTCGGCATGTCAGCGCCTGACTGCCACGTGATGACGTTGGCAAAGTTCTCTCCTGACCTCACCAATACTACTCCCGCCATTTCGGGCCTAATTGCACTACTCACCATCCGCCAAAATTACGAATGAATCCGAATACGCACTCTGTCCCGATGCATGCTTATTGTTGTGGATGGCGAGTAGTGCAACTAGACCCTTCGTTTGCTCCTGATCGTTCCTTCAGCATTCCCCAAGCAGCAAGCGCGGATACACATTTCCAGCGAAAGTCCCACAAATTCATGATTTGTTTTTTTTTGGGGGGGGGAATACGCTCATTCATTACACATTGGAAAGGGGGCCTCGACTAGGGAAAAAAAAGGGGCCCGGAGCTGGAAGGTGTAGGTAAGGGTTTGCGCTTGGGGGAAAAACGCAGTCTGTGAGAGATAAAAGTAGAAGGGCGAGGAGGCTGCAATGGTTGAGTATGGGCCTTGCTCCACTGCTCACCAAATGTGGAAATGAGAATGGATCTTCCGCTAAAAAATGGAAAGATACACCGCTATGTTTGTTTTCTGGTGTGCACTTGGAGAGTAGTGCAGCGAGGCTCTATGGTAGAGTACCTATGGCAGAGCGTTCATGTGTTCGTCCGAAACCACTGAGGGAAAAAAAACAAACAAACACAGAGGGCATACTTACACTACAGTGTGCGAGAGCAACCACAGAACGGCAGAAAACTCGAGGGACGGGATCTCCGGGAGTTGGTTCCAGAGGCCGGTGATGCCAGCTCGTGAAACCACGACCGTTTTTTTTTGTTTTTTTTTGTGGACGTAAATGCAGTCAAATGCATGCATGTCTGACCATAAATTCGATTAGATACATTTAAGATAGTGCTAGTGTGAGTATGGCAAGTGATTCCGAACAAATCTGTAATCTGAGTCTTCAATCTCCTGACCATTATAGAGCTGCTCCTTGTTCAGAAGCCCAGTGTAACTGAACACCTGTCTCTTGGATGCACCTTTCCATTCTGACGTCCAGGTTCAGTCAAAATATCCTAGCGAACAAGTAACTACCAACAAACGTGGGTTCCACTCTTCATTCTCCTGCACGATCAGAAAGAGCACAAGCAAAAGCACCTGCCTCTTATAGACTGTAACTAACATTACAGACTTCCCGAATGCATGTTTACATTCTTACGTCCAGATTCAGTCACTGAACTATCGCCAGATCCAATGCAACAAAGCAACTGCCTCGTTTATAGAATACAACTCACACTGCGGAGATTTCCGGATGCATCTTTACATTCTCACGTCCAGATTCAAGTCAAATTAGCATACCCCCATACCTGCCTTCCAAAGCTTCACAGAGTCGTGGTTGCTCCCTCCTTCCTACCTACCTACTACCTTTTTGCACATTCTCCCAAGTTCCTAGTTGGAACGACTGTCTAACATAATGATCCCAGCTGGAGTAAAACAAGCACTTCGTGTTAGACAACTGACGCAACGCTATGACGTTAGATAAATAACCGACAGTAGAACTGCACAGGCAGCAATACCACTACTCTCCCACACTCCCCGCCCCATCCTCTCTCTCTCTCTCTCGCGCGCGCGCGCACGCGCGCGGGGCTCCTGAGAGGCAAGTACCTTCGTTGCTCTGCTGAATAAACAAACAGTGCACTGCTCGTGGCCATCATTCTCTCCTGGACTTGAAAAAAAAAGGATCATCATATCTATGTCTTACGTAAGAAGTACCCTGAGAGGTAGAAAACATTGAACCCATCCGTGTTCCATCCGTGCACTGAGCCGTGCCGTAACCATCCTGTGTTGTATTTTATTCTGGGGAAGAGACGTAGGTCACACTTCACTTGATGTCGTGCATCCTGCCCAACTTCTGTCCTTCTATATAGGTGGTGAATTCGCCCATCTCCTTCAGCTTCCCCCTATGAAAACGAGTAACCCCTCTACTGGACACGGTCCTCTCCCCGCCCCCCTCTAGAGAAGTTGCATCTCCTTGGTGAAATTCAAAAGAAGTTGGGATTTAAGATGAAGCCCGTTATACCATCTTCCTAGAACCAGGAAATCTCTCTCTCTCTCTCTCTCTCTCTCTCTCTCTCTCTCTCTCTCTCTCTCTCTCTCTCTCGTGCGCGCGTGCATGCATTACGAAGTGTTCAAATAATGAACAACCTCGCCGCTTTTGCCCATCCCTTTGCCTAGCCAAAAAAATGCCATATCGGATTCCTCCCATGACTGATCATCGTATACATACAAAACAACCTATTGACAATGAAAAAAAGAAGAGGAACCAACGGTGACGTCTAGATTTCGATGACGAGTGGTAAATGGTGAGACGTGTGGAAAGGAACCACACGCCTGCCCTTCTTCCCCCGAACAGAACGTATGGTCATCATGACTGTACCTAGACCAAAAGTTGCCCCAAATGCAGCTATGATGACCGTACATTCTATTTGGGGGAAAACGGGTAGCATAAAGATCACCGACGTCCAGGGTCCAGAAAGCACACTGAAATTCGAAATATGTACAAAAACAGAATGAAGCACAAGAAATCGAGCCCGCCCCTCCTATGCAGTCCGGTAAACGCCAGAGGGAGATATCGTGTGCAGAGGAGTGGAGTTCATTCATGATCAACCAATCAGCGAAACAGTCACTGAATTGAATAGGACGAGATCGGACGACTCCTAAACTTCGCCCTCTCTCTCCCTCTCACACACACACACACACACACACACACACACACACAAACATACACGCACACACACCCCTAGCCGTATTCACTATTTTGGCTTGACCCAATCCACTGGACCTGAGTCGAACACTCACAACAGAAAAATTGTCGCCGAGTTCCAACTTGTTTTCGTACCGCTGTCCAGCTTTTGCACGCTGCAAGGGCTCTGACCAACTGTTGAACGTGGGTCTTCTACTGTGTTCAACCACTTATCAACATGACGAAGTTGTTTTCAACACGTGGAACATGCGTTCCAGCATTGTTTCGCACAGGACTCCAACATGAACCAACACGTATCCAACATGGTTTCGTACTGCGGGTCAATGTTGCAACAATGTGTGTGTTTGTGGTGTTATTTGGCCCCTACTGAAGGGATTTTTTTTTTCCTCCCAGTTTTTGTGTCGGCGTCCCAATTTTGACTACCTTGGATGTCCATGGACGTTCTGTCGTGGTCGTCGACAAGTGGGAAGTGACGTAGAACATGGTGAACTTGAGCAGACTGGGGCCAACAGAGATTGAACCCGAGAAGTCCTGAAAGCCACCTGCCAACCTTACCAGCTGTGCTACCCCGCAGGAGCAAGGGGCAAACAACAACCGCTGGCGTGGCGCGGCGAGAAACGGCAGTGGAAAAAAAGGCCCGGCACTGTTTTTTTCTTGGGGTCAGTTCGGGTTCAATCCCCATTGGCCCATGTACCTTCCTGGGCATGCTTGGCGCCCGCCACCTAGAGATAGCCCATTGGTCCCCCCAATTGGCATTAAAAAGCAAGCTCCGCTGATGTTCATAGGGGGACGGGTAATCGGATAAGCACAGCGACTGGCCACTCAGATGATGGTCGGTCCCTCTGCCACCGGCTGTCCCCTGACCGGTGGCCCCTGTTGGGGGTTCCCTGAAGGCTATCAGGCCACCCTAAGGCTATCAAGCCACCCTGGGCTGAAAAAGGCCACCATTGTCAGATTAGACACAACATTGAAATTACCTGGGCTGGTTAGTCCGATGATAACACCTCAAGCCCATCGCCCTTCAAAAAAAAAAGTTAACCTTGCGGCACTTGAGGCAAAAGGGCCGGTAATGCTGAATGTATATGACCTACGTTTCGGGTCCGGTGGGGTCTCGTGGGGGTGTGTTGTATTCGCGGGATTGCCTGTAGTGCAATTTTCGTGAGTGCGTCGAAGTTGCCCCTTTTTTTTTTTTTTTTTTTTTGTGCCCATTTAGTGAGGGAGTCGACGTCGCCTGTGCCATTCGACACCGTGACGTCGTGTCCCTCTGCCCTTACCGCTGCTGCTGCCGCTGGAGACATAGTGCTCGCCACTGCCGCCGCTGCCGCTGGAGACTTCGGTACCAGTGCCACCACTACCGCTACTGTCTGCACCCGGCCTCCTCCAGGTGAGGTCTCTCTCCTCTTCCCACTTCACCCGTCTCCACGACCTCCTCCTCCTCCCTGACATCCTCCTCCTCCTCCTCCTCCTCCTCGACATCCTCCTCCTCCTCCTAATCTTCCTCCTCCTCCTCGACATCCTCCCCCTCCTCCCCGACATCCTCCTCCTCCTCGTCGTCCTCCGCCTCCTCGTCCACCTCCTCCGTGATTTTTTTCATTTTTTACTGATGGATTGTTCGAAAAAAAAACAAAAACTAAAAACAAAGAAAGGTGGACGAGGAGGAGGAGGAGGAGGAGGAGGATGTCGAGGACGATGTCGGGGAGAAGGGGGAGGATGTCGAGGAGGAGGAGGACTTGGAGGAGGAGGAGGATGTCGACGAGGAGGAGGAGGAGGAGGACGAGAAGGCGGCGGAGGAGGAGGAAGATGTCAGGGAGAAGGGGGAGGATGTCGACGAGGAGGAAGATTAGGAGGAGGAGGAGGTCGGGGAGGAGAAGGAGGACGATGTCGGGGAGGAGGGGGAGGATGTCGAGGAGGACTCAGAGGAGGAGGAGGACGAGGAGGAGGAGGAGGAGGAGGAGGAGGATGTCGGGGAGGAGGGGGAGGAAGTCGAGGAGGAGGAGGAAGATTAGGAGGAGGAGGAGTATGTCAAGGAGGAGGAGGAGGAGGAGGAGGAGGACGAGGAGGAGGACGAGGAGGAGAAGGAGGAGAAAAAAAAAAAAATCCAATCGAACAAATCGATTGGATTGGATCTTGTTTTGGAAATCAAGATCCAATCGGATTGATTTGTTCGATTGGATATTCTTATTTCTTTCGGGTCTTTTTTTTTTTAATTTTTTTTTTTAATCATTGATTGTCTGATAAAAAAACACTACAAAAATAAAAAAGACAATAAAAGCGGAGGAGGAGGGGGAGGGGGAGGTGGAGGACGACGAGGTGGAGGAGGAGGAGGAGGAGGAGGAGGAGGAGGAAGGGGAGGATGTCGAGGACAGGAGGAGGAGGAGTAGAATGTTGATGATGAGCAGGACGAGGAGGAGGACGAGGAGGAGGATGAGGAGGAGGAGGAGGAGGACGACAAGGAGGAAGAGAATGCAGCGGACCGTGAGGGGGAGGGGGAGGAGGATATCGAGGAGGAGGAGGAGGAAGAGGAGGAAGAGGAGGAAGAGGAGGAGGAGGAGGATATCGAGGAGGAGTAGGAATAGGAGAAAAAAAAAAAAAAAATCCAATCGAAAAAAT